TGCTCAGCTCTGTTGGTGTGTCTTCCTGGGGTCAGTCCTCACGTTTGGCTTCCAAGAAGCCTTTATCAAATTATTTGTGCCTCAAGAGCCTTAATTTTAGCTGGCATAATGGTCACCATCGCAGATAGGTAGACTGAGGCCCAGAGAGAGACTTCATGAAGGAAGGAAGGTCACATGGCAACGGAGGCAGCACTGTAAGGTGAGTGGGTGGTAAGTGTTAGTGGAAGGTTTTTGTTGTTGTTTGAGGCAGCCTGATCATGGCTCACTGCCTCCTTGAACTTCTGGACTCAAGCCATCCACCCGCCTTGGCCTCCCAAAGTACTGGGATTATAGGTGTGAGCCACCACACACGGCCTTGATTTTGCTTAGGTTGCGGTGGTGGACCCTGGGTGAGGGTAGGGTTGCAATGGGGTGGAGGAGGAGGTGATACACCTGACTGCTGCATCTAGATTCATCCTCGTCTTTTTTTTTTTTTTTTTTGCACCAACTGGCAGAATTTCCTCACTTTCTCTCTCTGCCTCCTTTTCTGATTCACTCTCCATCTGTTAGTGGCTTCTGGCTTCTGAGAATGTGGATGCAGAGGGGTGGGGTAAGCTGTCGGGGGTGGGGAAGTAGATACAAAAACACAGGCAGTCCTTAATAGACTTTTAAATATTTTTTGAGTGCTCTCTAGATACCAAGCAATGTTCTAGGAGCTAGGGGAGTCCCACCATGAATAAAATCGACTTTGTCCCTGCTCTCATAGAGGTTCCATTACAGGATATATATGTATGGAGGGGAGGGGAGGGGAGTAGGCTGTAGATACAGATGGGGACAATGTCAGAAATGGGTAAGGGCTATAAAGGAGATGAGAGTATCTGGAGAGGGGGCATGACTTGAGACAATGAGAACAGGGAAGACCAGGCTGAGGAACTGGGATCTGGGGGATGGGAAGGAGGCAGCTGAAGATCCAGAGGAACAGGGTGCCTGCCCTGGTGAAACGGTATAGGGAAAGGCTGTGAAATCCATGTGCTGGAAGAACTTTAAGAAGGCCAGTGTGGCTCAACCACAGTGACACAAAGAAAGCAAGTCAAGGCCCAGCATGGTGGCTCACATCTGTAATCCCAGCACTTTGGGAGGCTGAGGTGGGTGGATCACCTGAGGTCAGGAGTTCGAGACCAGCCTGACCAATGTGGTGAAGCCCTGTCTCTACTAAAAATACAAAACTTAGCCAGGCATGGTGACACGTGCCTGTATTCCCAGCTACTTGGGAGAATGAGGTGGGAGAATCACGTGATACTGGGAGGCAGAGGTTGCAGTGAACTGAGATTGCACCACTGCACTCTAGTCTGGGTGACAAAGTAAGACAGTCTCAAAAAAAAAAAAGTAAGTCAAGAGAGGATCCCAGTGCCAGCTGTAGATCATGATGGGGAGTTCACAATCAATTTTTCTTTTTTTGAGCCAGAGTCTTGCTCTGTCGCCAGGCTAGAGTGCAATGGCACGATCTTGGCTCACTGTAATCTCTGCCTCCAGCAAGTGATTCTTCTGCCTTGGCCTCCTGAGTGGGACTACAGATGCATGCCACCACGCCCAGGTAATTTTTGTATTTTTAGTAGAGATGGGGTTTCACCATGTTGGCCAGGATGGTCTCCATCTCTTGACCTCATGATCCGCCCGCCTCGGTCTCCCAAAGTGCTGGGATTACAGGCATGAGCCACTGTGCCTGGCCACAATCAATTTTTTTTCTAGGGGGATAGGAGGAATTAATAGAAGAATTAAGAATGAAGACTCAAAGGCAGCAAGACAGGAAGCAGGGAGACCAATTAGAAGGCTTTGGCTGTGACAGAGGCAGGAGATGATGATCTGGACCAAGTCGGGGTTAGAGAAGAGGTAATATTCTAGGGGTCTTTGGGAGGTGACTGAGAAATGAGGGCAACATTCCCTAGGTGGAGGACACCAGGAGAGAAGCAGGTTTGTTGGAGACATGTAAGGGGAGGTGGGGAGAGAAACCAATTCAGTTGTGGGCATATAGAGTATGGAGAGTCGGTGGACAGCCAGAGATACTGTTCCAAGCTGGAGGAGAGACCAGATGATGCTTGAAGTTGTTTTTTTTTTTTTTTTTTTTTTTTTTTTTTTTTTTTTTTTTTTTTTTTTTTTT